AAAGTGCAACGTGCAGGCAAACAAGATAAGAAAAAAGAAACGCGTAAGAACTGACTAGCAGCGGAAGGCAGGGGTGAGGAGCCGAGTGACGCAGCGCTTGGGAAGCGTGTTGCGCATTCCGAATGAAATTGCTGCCTTTGTATGGAGGCATGTTGTTGATGAGGAGCTTGTGCAACACTCTAGTTTAGCTTGCCACTTGCTTGATGTTGTTGTTGTTACTGTTGAATTTTTGCGAAACAAACTCTGACAACAGTAATGGAGCGGCAAGAAAAGACACGAAACAAATATAAATTACAACAACATGTTGCATTCTTTTACCTGCCTCGGTCGGCTGCAAGAATGAGCTGTTAGTAAATTCTGACAGACTAGCAAAATATTTGCTGCAACTATGAAAATGCGTGTGCTTCATTAGAGCAGTCAGGGAGTAAAAAAATATATGTATATATACAACAACAACAATAAGCACTGTGCAGAAATGTGTTGTTAGTTCCACCCACCTCGACTTGCTTCACACACCAATTGAGGAGTTGAGTTTCGGCGGCACTATTGGATTGCCACATTCATAATTTCAAATAATTTTTAATATGCTATGATTGTTGTTGTTGCATTCTCTACACTTGCTGATATTCTTCGGCCACTTTTTCTCGGTTTTCATAGTCTTAGAAGGGTATGTTGCACCCAAGAAGTTTGTAAAACCCAGTAGGAAACGTCGGATACCGCAACGAGCTGCGTTGATGTCGTACACTTGTCTGTCCGTTTATCTCTATATATATACGTGAAATAGTTTCACTGAAATTTTGTACACGTCAGTTTCTCTTCAAGAAGCTGCTCTTTGGTCGGAACTGCCGATATCCGACCGCTATAAAATATAGCTCCCTTTCAAACTGAACGATCCAAACCTTGTTCTTGTAAGGAAAACTTTTTAATTGATTAGTGTCTAAGATAGCGGTACAATCTACGAAGAAATTGTTCAGATCGGACCACCAAAGCATATAGCTGCCATACAAACTGAACAATCGAAATGAAGTTCTGATGGGTAAAACTTTTTGGTTTAATGAGATATTTTCACGAAATTTTGCATGGAATAGTGTCTAAGATAGTGGAACAATCTACGAAGAAACTGTTCAGATTTTACCACTATAGCATATATAGGAAGAAATGGTTCATAAAGGAGCATTATAGCATATAGCTGCCATGCAAAATGATCGCACAAAAACAAGTTTTTGTATGGATTTTTTTATATTTGTGAAGGTTATTAAAGTCTTTTTCGTTTTCTGTTTTAAATTTTATCAAATTTTTATTAAAAAAATTCGACGCATACTTTTATTGCCTTCTTGCATTTGCGCACATTAAGTCATACATTGTTGTAGGCAACATCACATTTTGTTGTACAATCTTTTAATCTCGCGTTGGTGATCTTTATTACCAGGACATATCTATAAACATACGTATATGTGAATACACATGTACACTTACACACAGACATATATATGCATGCCGATCACCGCTGCTCAGCACTATCAACTTCTGCTTACTGTCTTCAAGCTGCCGGGCTGCAGTGGCGGTCAGTCTGTCTGCGCTGGTTTGGCACAGTTGCCTTTTGGCTTTGCTTATCCTTCTTGTTCGCTGCCGTTTTTGCATTTTCCGCCGACTTTTATTTTATTTACTTCTTCATTCATGAATTTTGTTTTTGTGTTGTTGTATTTCTCGCCGCTTGTGGACACAACATTTGCATAATTATTGAGTGAACTGCCGGAACTGTGGGAACAGCGCTCGCTAAAGACGAATGAAGTCATTGGGCAGTTGTCCAAACGGCGATATGCCGAATAATATTCGAGCAGTGAGCGAAGTCTACTGGGCAGACGGAAGCATTTGACAGCGCATAAGCTTGCAATATTTACTAGTTAAGATGGGGTTATTAAATAAACGAAAGTAAGAGTTTGCTATCTCCGTGATATTCGTTTAAAGGCTCATTTGGCATTATTAGCTCTCGGTTTAATGACTTCAATTAATTTTGCTTTACAGGATCTAATTAAGCTTTGTTTTAAGCGTAATTAATTTAGTCATGATTACCTTAGGAGTATATAATAGACTACTAGAGTTAAGCAAGGTGTACAATGTACCACAATAACTAAGCACATTGGTAGGCATTGAAATCTAATGCAGAAGTGCTGCTGGCAATAAGCGGTACATTTGGGCTGGGCGACAATTGAGTGTTGAAATTCTGCGGAGATGACGATGCTAGTTACAATATAATATATGGTGTAACAAACGGTTAGGCGTTTCTGACAATGTATAAAAAAAGATTCCGCAAAAATTTTATGGACCTATCTCTGCTTTAGTAAAGTCGCGTACTTGGAGAAATTAATTTGCAAAATACGTAGTGTAAAAGGATTTAACTTAACTTTGTATTTCGAACGGGTTACAGCTAAATAATAGAAGGACCTTTTTGGAACAAATTTTTCTTCCCTCAACTCTGTCTAAATTCTGTCCGTTCTTTCTTATTCAATCGGTTTTCGTCACTAATCTCTCGTCAACTGGCTGGCTACTCTGCAGCTATTTTGCGAGATCCGGTACATTGTCAAGATTTCTTTTAGGCATTCTTTTCTGCCGCCCAAATTCCACATTCTAGCTTTCCAGATGTAGGCTTACAGATCAAAGACTCATAAGAATACGTGGAATCTTTTGTTTTTATGATCTTTATAATTGTTTGCCCTTTTCGGTGCAAAAACCTTGATACTATAGGAGACCTATTAGTATCAAAAGAATATGAATGGTATGCTAAACAAAGCAATTCTTATAGGAGACTTGTCGAAACCAGTCTCTAGTATTGACCTCGACCAACACATATTATTAACAGAAAAAGCCGCTGAGTTTCATTAAGATACTTCACACATTGTATAATGTATATGGTATAAAGTCAACCGGTAGTAGTCTATATTTGGCAAATGCGGCCTAAAGGAAGTATTGGCTTGACTTTACCCATTTTAGACCCACGCGTACATATTATCGATAAATTCTTCTCTCTGAATTTCAATAATAACTTAATTTATTCACTCCATCTTGTAATGATTTTCTGGATTATTTTCATTTGAAATGTTGGGTAATAGTCCTACATTTAGTGGATCACCTTATATATTATTTAACTAACTGTTTAATTGAAGGGGTAGGTCTCTACAGCTAGCTTGCTTATGGTGGAAATCATTGATTCCGTCAGACTTTTTTTCGACTGTATGCGACCGAAGACCATATATAAAGCATATGTAACTTAGGTTTGTCCGGATAGATGAGAAACTCGAAATAATTACAAAATGAACAGTTGAGGCGATGCCAGAGCCGCATTGTATTTTACGCTGGTTACTTCAGTAGCGTCTTAGGGTTTAGAATTTGTGTAAAAATAAAATTATACATTGTCACAAAATTGCACTCTGAAATTAAATTCATCGCATTTCAAAAAAATATATTTTACTATGTTGGTAATACTATCCTTAATTAATATGCAAACATGAGCCAACCAGTTTGGTTACAGCAGCTGCTTAAGGCCGGTACACCTCAGAAAAGGTTGTGTCATTTTTACGATGGTAAAAATATCAAACATAGAATTTGTTTCAAATTTTGTATTTCTAGCCTACGAGTGGTGCAAAGCCTTCAAAGACGGACGAGAGATTGTGGAAAACATGCCTCGTTCCAGACGACCTTCGACTTTTTCAACTGATGAAAATATTAAGCAAGTAAAGGATATGGTGCTTTGAAATCGTCAGGAAGGTGTTAGAGAGATGTCAAGGGAGCTCGAAATCTCTCGCGAGTTCATTTACATGGTTTTGGTGAATATTTTGGGTCTGAGACGCATTCTTGCTCGACTCGTCTCGATAAACTGAATTTAAAAAAAAAAAAAAAAAAAAAGTACCGTAAACAAGTCTCTTTGCACATGCTTGATCGAGCGAATTCCGATCCCACATTCATGAAGAGTATTACAACTGCCGATGAGACATGGGTTTATGAGTTTGACATGCAAACAAGTTAACAATCATCGGAATGGAGAAAAAAAAAACAAGCCTATGCTAAAAAAAACACGCTAAAACAATATTCGAAGTTTTGTGCTTCATGAATTTGTTTCGGAAGGACAGGTGGTAAATAAGAAGATCTACTTGAACATCCGTCAGAAACGGCCGGAATTGTGGAAGAAGAATTCATGGATTATAGACAATGATAATGCATCATCGCATCGAGCCACGATTGTGACCGCATTTAAAGCCAAAAGCACAATGGATACCATTGATCAACTACCGTATTCACCAGATTTGGCTCGGTGTGATTTTTTCTTGTTCCCCAAACTGAATTGCCGCTCCGTGGAACCCGCTTTCAGTCAATCGAAGAGATAAAACAAAGCTTAAGGAGCTGAAGGCCATCCCAAAAAGTGCTTATGAAAACTGTTTCGAGAACTGAAAAATCGGTTTCAAAAGTGTAGGCATTATTTCGAAGGCGGCAAAATAATTGTTGATGGATAATAAAATGGTTTGCATTTAATTTACAATTTCCGAGTATTTTGTGTGAAAATGTATGTTCAAAGCTACATTTATACTACTTTAAAACCTATCGCTTAATAAACTAGTTTTTTTCATAATCAGTCATGTATGGTAGAATATCCGTTTTTAAATGGTTTTTAATTGTCACTTTTATGTTATGGATTTCGACTCTTCCTGTAACAAATATCGATCCTGCAATCCTTTTCGTCTTTAAAAAAGGTTCGAGAAGTTAATTTCCGTCTGCATTTATAGATATACTCGTACTTTCAATTTTTGAAATAGCGAACAGAAATTTTTTTCAATTCTTTGTTTATAGGAGTAAAACTTCTCCAGCGAAATTTGATCCAGGAAACATAAGAATATAAACGTTCAAGAAACTTAAGACTATTGTTTGCTTCGAAGAGAGGCAACATTCTTTACAATACAAGTAATATGGCAACATCTTTGCATAAATTATTTTAAAGTTTCACTTACTTTTTGGCTGAATATGCGGACTTAGTAAAATTTAGTTGTTTTATTAAGTTGTCACAGCAAACAGAAATTTTTGTATTTTTTTAAATTTATTTTTGCACTTAATTTTTATCAAAAATCTTTCACAGAGCGGACACGAAAATTCGTAAATGACGAAAACCCGACGGCTTCACAAGAGTTATCAGCAACACAAAAAACACCGTTTTAGCGCAACAAAAGCTGACTTGTAGTTTTTCTCATAAAATACACGCTTACACTGGACTGCTGCTGCGAGCGTTCAGAGCTACTTAGTCAAAGACTTAGGAACTTGACGTTTGTTGGAAGAAACAGTTCACACATATACACACACGAGAATTGGTTTGTCTTCAAACGTTGCGCTCAGCGACAATTTCAAAACCGGACTGAATTTGAGTGGCGCGCGACTCGAGGCTCTGAGCTGGCTACAGCTAAGTGCGCTGACTGTGGCTATTGCTGCGGCAGCTCAGGGCTTGGTTGCGCGTGTGTGTGAGGCTCTGCGCTGAGTCTAGGGATTTCGCGTCCATACACACAAACACAAGTACAGAAGTGAGTGAAATTCATATGAGTGTTTGTGACTTAAGCTAGCAAGCAATTGTGGGCACACATTGTGGCAACTGCAACTGTGCAACGTCTTCCATTGCAATTGCAAAGACAAAGCATGCTGGTAGGGATGATAAAACTCTAACACAGACGAGCACAGACAGAGCAGAGCCGAGTAATAGTCCAGTGGTCAGCTGATGGTTTGCAGGCGATTAAATGAAGAAAAACCTGCTGACTAGCGTTAGAAGATAGTGTGTGTGTGCCTCGAGTGTTGAACGGTTGATTGAGTCACTTTTCATATAAAATTGTATGAGTGTGTATGTGTGTTGGTGAGCGCATAGAAAAAGAGTAGGGTTTCGCTTGAGGCAGCAATTTGACTTCGAGCCTTCAAGTGCGAGTGAGCCACATAGCTGTGTCTTGGTCTTATCAGTTGAGCAGATTTTCGAGTGTGAGCAGCGTTGATAGCGCGGCATGAGTGGCATTCGTATGTGTGATAAAGCAACAGCAGAGACAAGCCGCACACAATCAACAGGCTAACGGATAAATCCATTCAGTTAATCCCATTTATTGGCTTTTCTCGACGGTAAGGGTTACTACTACTGCGCTGTGTCCTTTGGTCAGCAGCAGCACCAGCAGCAACCACTAGTAGACAAGTGTTGCCAAAAGCACAAATACAACACGCGCTTAAGAGGATAATCAGGATATTGAAGGGAAAGTGTTGTTGGCGCTTTAAGTAAGTAATAGAAGCTTTAGTGGGCGCCTATTGGCCCTTGGACAGCGTTGTAACGTTAAAATTGGATTTTAGATAATTACATATACTAACATATACATATACAAATCCTTACATAGGTAACACAAAATTATATAAAACATATTTTCAGTTCGCTTTGGGTTAATTAAAAATTTGCTTGCAAACTTCGAACGAAATTTCATGGTTTTTTCTAATATTTTTAACTATAAACTAAAAATAGTGCTTACAAATACAAAAATAAATATTTGGATCTGCATCTGAAACAATTTTAATGTTTAAATTTTAATTGACGGCATGCGCCGCCTGAAAGTGCGCCACATTTAATTATGGCGATAATTGCACACATTAACTGTGGCGACCAAAGAAAAGCAACAACAAAAGAAAACAAGAAAAAATATTATTATCGGTTGCTCCAAAGCCAAAATACCCTACTCAAATAAAAAAGTTATTCATACAATAAGTTAATTTGGATCGATCAGTTTGTATGGCAGCTATATGCTATAGTAGTTCGATCTAGACAACTTGTTCGGAGATTGTGGGGATTCCTTCGAGGATAATACATGCCAAATAAATAAAGATATCTCTTCAAATAAAAAAGTTTTCCATACAATGACTTGGGTTTGAAGGGTCAGTTTGTATGATAGCTATATGCTATAATGGTCCGATCTGAACAATTTGTTCAGAGATGGTTGCAATTCCTTCGAAAATAATACACGTAAAGTTTCGTAAAGATATCTTGTCAATTTTAAAAGTTTTCTTTACAAGGACTTAAGTTAGAAGGCTCAAGTTATATAACAGCTATATGCTATAATTGTCCGATTAGAACTAACCTTGTAGCTATACCTTCTAAAATAATATACGCTAAATATCGTCAATTAACCTTGCCAAATAAAATAGTTTTCCATACAAGGACGTGAGTTTGAAGGGTCATAAATAAGCTATAGTTGTCCTACCTTGAGGGTTTCAACAAATTACCACTGAGACAAGTGATATACTCGCGGATATACTCACGGAAAGCAGACAGACAAAACTAAATTAAGTAGCTGTTGAGGGTATAAAAATAAAATAACATATTATATAATATAATTCACCGATCAGCTTTGCTGCTTCTTCGCGCCATTAAAATTTGGGCGTATGAAACGCGAAACAATAGCGAAAATTTGCCAGTCAGATGACGGCGCGGAATGCCGTGACGCAAGGAGCAGACGCAGCCGATTTAGCACATGGCTTTAAAGGTGGTTCAAACATTAAAAAAATAATATAAATAAAATAAATGGACGAAGTGAAAAAAGCAAGCATTCCGCATGACGATCGACCGAATGCCAGAGCGCGCCGCAATATAACCGCGTCGATCTAAAGCGACGTGCGGTCGACCCAGCGTAGGCACTTAAAACAGCAAAGAGGAAGATCGTAAAGCTTGCCAAAGCGATAAAACCTCAGCTCCAGCGCTATTGTGAAGCTGTGGTTAAAACAAATGCGCTCGGTTGGGGACAGTGGGGCAGATGAAAACAAAGAAGCAGTAAAAAATATTTTTTCATTCTTATTTAAAGCAAAACAAAATATACTTATTTATTTTTTTCAAATATTATTAAACTGTGTTAGATAAGTGTGTAATAGTTTTGTATTGTGTATTGATTACTTAATTGCACGATTAGCGGTTTAATTGCTTTCTTAATTAAATACTGCGTTCTGTAGTATGTATAAATGAAAATGTATAATTTATTCAAAACTTTATAGTATTAGGATTATATTTTAGTCAATTAGCAAATTTTTGGTATATGTTCACATGTAGAGAATTTGTTAATTAACTTAATTAAGCAGCTTTTTTGAGCGCCTAAAACTATGCTTTGGGTTTCTAGTTAAGACTTCGTTTGGTTTTTTTTTTTTATTATGAGTATGATAGGCATTTTGGATAGTTCCATACATTTGCTCTATATATATTAGTGCGGACAATTAGCTAATTGACTGAATTAAGCGGCTGTCAAAAATTATCATAAGGAGTGATCATTAGATAGATTTTTTGTTTTATTTAAAACATCTGAGCAACAATGAGGCGGAGTTGTCCACAAAAAACTATGTCGCAAACCGAATCGATGAAAATGTTATTTCTGGATTGATACAACCTCTTTAACGTTCAAGTGAAGTTTTTGCTGACGACGCCAAGTGTTCTGCGATTTTAACCTTGAGAAAATATTTAACAACGAGTTTTCGTGAAAGTTTGCGTTTGCGATGGATCACAGCTACGTAAATATTGAAAATGTTGCAGAAGTGTTTTGGGAGATCTACTTTATCAGGAAACACGTATTTGAGTACCAAAAAGCATTCAGTGAAGAAGTAGATAAGGTTGAAAAGGTTAAAAACCAGTGTTTTAAAATCGTTGTGTTGGCATTAAATAGATAGAAGAGAATCTTAACAACTTTTTGGGTCGATTCAACACATTTTGGTTAATGTTTTGGGTAATATTTTGGCTATAAAGCGGAATCTTTTGCAAAAACAACATCAAATAGAGGTTCCAAAAGAGCTGAGGACTCTACATTCAAACATATTTTTATTGGTAACAAGACATGGGTACACGGAAGTGACGAACAAACTGTCGAAAAATTTAGCGTATGGCGCTTCAAAAAACGCCGATACCGAAATAACCAAAACTCACTGAAGGAAAATTGGAATTGAAGGCTTTAGTAAAGAATATAAAAATTATGTGAAAATGTAACTTTTTGTCAGTCCGGGTCAAATGTGATCAGATGGTATGTGCGGCTTATGTATTTTATGTCAAACAATACCGCAATTTGTCTCTGAGAAATCTATGAACATTTTTTCGAAAAAATGGTCTGATCGAAAATCAATTAAAAACATATACCATCTACTATAATTATTTGATTGAAAAAATGTCGAAAAATGTATAGACATTGTATTGGAAGGTGTGTGTTTCGAAAAATCGAAACCTCATTTGTTGTAAATTTTATGTTATTCTGAAAAACAAAAAATAAAAAAAAATATTGTCGAACACTATATTTCCCAAACTAACCCACTGTAGCTGCTAGACTATGAACTGAATTTTTTATAGCCCTTAAACGAATTTTTTAAATGGGGAAATAATTCACCACAGTTTTTTCTATTTCACACATGTTAGTTGTTGTATTGTTTTTGTTTTTTTTTTTGTTTTGTTTTGGACATTTGTTGCTCGCCCTTTAAAGCCGAGCGGACACACGTGTTGGTGCGTGCAGACAATGGCCTCAATGGCAATGCGCGACAGCAACTTAAAACATAGAACAGCAACAACAAAATTGCCCAGAAAACCCAGGAAGCGGTGTGTTGCAGCTACAGCGGCGAGATTTGTGGCATTTAGAGTGTCATAAAATGGCTTAATTGATTTTATTACACCAGGCGACACTAAAGGGAAGAAATTTGTGGAAAATTAGAAAATTTACGACGACGCAACGCGAACTAAAAAAGGCACGACGCGTCCGTTCACGAGCGTGTAGTTACAAATTTACTCGCATTGCAATATTTTTAGTGTGCTAATATGCACTTACCACACACACACACACACACACAGACATCTGTGGAAATGGGGTTAATGCGCCACGTTGGAGCGCCAAGTTGCAGCATCGGGAAAAAATACTGAACTTAACCACAAAAAGGCGATTATGGAGTTATTTTAATGACCTCAGCGCTGTGCCACACAATGCCAGCCAGCAACAAGAACAACAAATAATGCAAGCAAAAAACGAATGATAGCAACAGTTTGGCGCTGACTGACAGTTGACAATTCTTGCGACATTCGCATTGGCAGCTTTGCCTTGGCTATGGTGTCGCCACACAAGGCTCGCCTGAGCGGGTGCGCTCGGCCAACCACTGCATTTAACGCCGAAAATTCCTACTTGCACGCACACACATACGTAGCTGGTCACTCATCCGCAATTGGCCGCTGTCAGCGCGTTGCTACGCTGACTGACAAGCCACGAGCGATGTGAGGGAGTGATTTCCCAAATCGCGTCTCGGCAAACGGCGAAATCAACTTCATATTTGCATATTAACGGACTGACTGCGCGCTCGTGTGAATTTCGTCGCTTTGTTAGTGTCACAATTTTGCTGGTTAATGATCGCTT